CACATAACGTCCAACCACATAATGCTTAATAAAAGAGTGGTAACTAGGCATGGTATAAGCTTCGTTGTGAGTGAAGCATGTATACTGTTTTTCCAGGACGTGAAGGAAGGCCGTACCAAGACATGCACGCCATGCAGGTCTGAACCCGCCCATGCGGTCACCGTGGACTGTGCTTCTGAATTATCCAATCAAAATCCGGTCTCAAGTTTTTGAGCTCTCTCTCTCGGCATGAATAATAGGCTACATCGTGAAAGGGCACCACCCAGTACAGTTACTCACTAAGGCTTCCCCATCAATCTATGCAAAAGGGATGCGGTAGATCTAAATACATAAGTGAAAAAAGTTACCTGATCGGCAGGCGAGATCTTTGATTCGATGAGTTTCTGCTGATTACGAATTTTTCTCCGCCGTTCCTCTTCCAAATGCTTCTTGCGTTCCTCACGTGTGTGAAAGTGTCCGAGCTAAATCGAAGAAATCTTGAGGGACAGCACTGGGTTGCGCCACGAAGATGACAAATGTCTTGATTATTTCCAAGACTGTGCATTTACAGTTTATGGGGCAGTTCGGCTAGGTGGGGAATCGAGTGATGCCTATCGAAGCGAGTTAGAGTCAGCTTCGATGGCCGTGAGAACCTTTACGTTCCTGTAAACGAGGTGGCTTTTTACACCATCTCGTAGCTTCACAGGAGTTCACAGCTCTCACCAAAGTGTAACCTGATATTTAACATGGCCCAGCAAAAGCAAAGAAATGTCCCTTCCAATCCAAATATCGTCCAGCATATATCGATATAGACCCTTTACTTATACATCTCGGGTATTTTTACCTCAAGATTTACTTGCTGTCTCTCTCATCCTAACCCATGCGATTTACTGTGGTAATGGTGTTCCCACTGATCTTAAATTTCTAAGTATATTGCATTTCTCCAAATAAAATCAAAACTCACTTTCAGCTCGCTCATTGCGTCGTCATCGGTGCTGATGCCTGTTCGTTCTCGGATAAGCTGTGCAGCTCGTTTCTTCAGAATTTGATTTCGAGCTGGTCGCTTCACGACGTATCGTGAACCGTCACATCGTCGCTTAACCTGAAACAAATGCTAGATGTAACGCCAACTTTGGCACAAATACACACACAGGTACACTCCATATCTCGGAAATGGGGAGGGCGTGGCTGCGCACCTTATTCGAACATGGC